TTGACATCCATGTCTTGTGATTGAAATAAGTTGTCTTTGTTTTATTTTATGGTTTTGGCTGTGAACGATTTTTTTATTTTTTTGTTAAACTGACCTCTTCTGGGCCAAACTCAAAATTATTTTGGGCCTCGTAAAAATAACGTGATGAATGGGCTAATGTTAAAGAGAAATTGGACCACCAAATCAGGGCTGACAAAAAACACGGTAACTGAAACTGAGACCCCAAGGAAGATGACAAAAAAATGGCATTGTCGACTGAACATTGTGGCTTTCAAGTTTCAGCTCAATAAGCCAATATACAACATATAGGATGCGAGATCTATTTTACCCCAAAAAAAAAAAAAAAAATACAACGTATACAATCTGAGATTATTTTTTCATATATTTTCAAAAAAAAAAATTGATCCATTCAAATACTAAATTTGACCACGTGAATTTTATCTGAATGATCCTCAAATTCACTTATGCTCTGTTTGGTTTGAAGGGAATGAAAATGAGGAGAAATTTTAATAAATTCTCTTTTTTTTTGAGGAAAAAAATGAAGAATTAGGGTGAAAATTTTTTAATGAAAAACAGTAAAGGGAAAACCGGAAAAGTAGAGAAGGTTCATTGAACTATCTCTGCCCCCTCTCTCCATTTTTTTAATTTAAAACAAAAATCAAACTTATTAATTTTTTATTTCCCCTCAAACCAAACAGTGAGCAGTTTAATTAAACACTGGGAGTTGCTGCAGCTTCTAGGCCTGTGATTTCAGTAGCTTGCCCCTGCGCACTTTGAGGAGGGCCTGAAGATGTTTGTGGTGGTGGGAACAGATAACCGTAGCAGAAGAGCAAGATGAAAACCAACATAAGTGAAGAGGCGTTTATGAGGAAGCACCATAACGGAGAGACCAGCACCAGCACGAGTAGCTCACAAGCAACACTTCCTGAAACATGGCACATCCACCAAGCCATTCTTAAATTGGACTTTAATCTCAGAACTACGAGTGTGATGACGTACACGGTTATTGCCATGAGAAATAGTATCATGACAGCAGGGCGGTCTTTGAAGGGGCTAGTGTTCAATCCTTGGTACTTGATTTGGGTCAAAGCAAGTAGCAATCCGGTTAAATAAGCATGAATGGTATGAAGTGAAGGAACAGAATCTGAAACCCTTGAATAATTAAACAAAAACAAGTCAGAATGAGAAAAGTAAAGAGCGAATTAACGAGATGAAATGACATGTAGTAATGAACCTCGGGGGAACAGTGGGATCTCCGATGTCTGTGTTGTTACCATGACAAAATCTAGAGAAGAAGTTCCCCATGAAAGAAACTGAAAACTAGATATGTTTCTTGTGAAATTGAGAAAATTTCTTTTGCTGCTGATATCTCAGAGAGGAGAAAATCAGAGAACTTGCAGTAGTGAAAATTTCTTCTCTCCCTCTTCGAAGAAGAATTCCCTTTTTTATAGTCACAACGATGGATCTTCTTTAGTATCCACCAACAGTGAGTTCACTCTTGGTGGATACTTTTGAACTCATTGCCGCAATGAGTTCACTAAACTCATTGCCGCAATGACGTGAGTTCACTTTTGGTAATGGGGTCCATTTGGACTGTCCAAATTGAAAAGTGGGAATAGACCGTCTTGGATAAATTTTATTGTCTATTTAACATCTATTATTTTTTATAATAATTTTATATTTATTTTTACTTTTTATTATAAATTTTATATGATCTTTTAAAAATATAAAAATTTTATTATTTTTTACACTTTGTCTTAAATTTTAACATTGACAAATATAGGTTTTGCATTCATATTTTTTAATGATAGATTCCATATTCACTTTTATTTTTTTACCATAGGTCCAGCAACTATATATATATATATATATATATATGTATATTATTTTTTTAACAAAATCATCTATTAACTAATTTTTTAAAAAATTTAAAATTTTAAATTAATTACTAATTTAAATTTACTAATTAAATTATAGGTCCCACACCCACTTTTTTACCATTAGTAATTTCTTTATATATCTAACTCGTATTATTTTTATTAAACATTTTATATTCATTGTCAATTTTTACTAATCTTACGTGATCTTCTAAAATATAAAAATCTTATTATCTTTTATATCTTGTTGGAATTTTAAAATTTACAAATGTAAATTTTTGATCACTCTTGCAAGTGTACAAGATTACAGTAATAAATTATCTAGAATATTTTAGGTGTCGAACTTATAAAAAAGTTATACTTTTACTAATTTAAATAATTAATGGTTCAAGAAAAATAAATAAAATGAATAATTTGATAAAAACATAAAGAATAAAAATATCTCAAAAAAATTATTGAGATATTTAAATAAATGATTGGATAAATTTTCAGGTTAAATTAAATAATTATTCATATTAATAATTATTTTTTATTATTTTATAGGCAGTTATTGAAATATTTTGGAAGGAGTAGTAATTTGTTTCAATTAAACAAAATAACTACCCATTATCAATGAGTAAATAATGGGTACTATGAGATAACAGATGATCGATTTTTTTTCCTCACTCTCTAGAAAATTCGCACAGAGAACAAAAGTGTTCTCTCATCTACTTCTCTCCCTTTTCTCTGTCAAGGAAGTTTCTATGTATCTACAATATATCAAACACCCATGTCCAGTAATTCTACATCACCTTATGGGCTCCAATTTGAAGACTTGAGCATAAAATTTTTGGCCCAAATATTCACAGAGCAGTAGAGCACCCGGCAATGAATAATTCAATCTGCTTGTCTTGGGCTCTCAAAGGTCCACCTGCACTCTGATTCTTTAGACGCCACTAACATGATCCTTCGAGAACCCGTAGCAGGTCACTTATGGAAAAGGGAAATTAATGCAGCACGTGACCTACTTTATTATTCGGACAATGCTGAAATCCATCACGCACATATGGAACTCCTTCGCGGTGCTAATAACCTCATAACACGTGGAAGCTATAATGCTAACCCCAGAATATCTTTTATCCAAGAAATGCCCCTCGATGTTTCTGCACATATGGAACTCATAACACGTGGAAGCTATAATGCTAACCCAACAACAACAACAAGAAGAAGGAGGACGAGAAGGAGGAGGAGAAGGAGAAGGAGAAGGAGAAGCAGCAGAAGCAGAAGAAGGAGAAGGAGAAGAAGGAGAAGAAGAAGAAGGAGAAGAAGAAAAGGCAGAAGGAGCAGAAGAAGAAGAAGAAAGAAGCAGAAGAGGCGGAGGAGGAGAAGAAGAAGGAGAGAGAAGGAGAAGAAGAGGAGAAGGAGAAGGAGAAGAAGAAGGAGAAGGAGAAGGAGAAGGAGAGAAGAAGAAGGAGAAGGAGAAGAAGAAGAGAAGAGAGAAGAAGAAGAAGCAGAAGGAGAAGGAGAAGGAGAAGGAGAAGGAGAGAAGAAGAAGAAGGAGAAGCAGAAGAAGCAGAAGGAGCAGCAGAAGAGAAGCAGAGAAGCAGAAGGCGAAGAAGAAGAAGAAGAAGACGAAGGAAAGGAGGAGGAGGAGGAGAAGGAGAAGGAGAAGGAGTAGGAGGAGCAGAAGGAGAAGGAGAAGAAGAAGGGAAGAAGGAGGAGGAGGAGGCGGAGAGGAGAAGGAGAAGGAGAAGGAGAAGAAGAAGAAGAAGCAGAAGCAGAAGAAGACGGAGCAGAAGAAGGAGAAGGAGAAGAAGGAGAAGAGGAGAAGAAGGAGAGGAGAAGGAGAAGAAGAAGAAGGCAGAAGGAGAAGAAGAGAAGCAGAAGAAGAAGAAGAAGAGCAGAAGAAGGAGAGAAGCAGAAGAAGCAGAAGCAGAAGAAGCAGAAGAAGAGAAGCAGAAGGAGAAGAGAAGAAGCAGGAGGAGGGGAGGAGGAGAAGGAGAAGGAGAAGAAGGAGAAGAAGAAGCAGAAGGAGAAGGAGAAGGAGAAGGAGGAGGAGGCGGAGGAGAGCGAAGGAGAGAAGGAGAAGAAGGAAGAAGAAGCAGAAGCAGAAGGAGAAGAAGAAGAAGGAGAAGAAGAAGGAGGAGGAGGAGGAGAAAAGAAGAAGAAGTTGCTCTTCGTTTGTTGGTGGGTGTTGGTGGGATAATATCTGCTTTTTTTATCCTTTGACTAGGGAGTAATATAATATATTAGGAGGAAATGATAGAGAAATTTATGATAAGATGCAAACAATAATATAATGACCATGACAGCACCAGAAATTACATCCTCTCCTATGCAAATTTGTGATTCACTAAAATATCTATAACTATTTTAATTTAAGTAATGATTATTTTTTTTAATAATAACTAAATAGAACAAGAAATTACAAATTTTCTAATGTAAATTTTTTATTCATTGAAGTTTAAGTATTGTAAACAATCATGACTATTTTAATTTAAGCAACGGTAATTTTTTTAACTTTTCTTGTATGAATTTTTTATTCATTGAAGTTTAAGTATTGTAAATATTTGTGATTACTTTAATTTAAATAATAATTATTTTTTTAGCAATGAGTAAAATAGAATAAGTAATTATAATTTTTCTTGTACAAATTATTTACTTATTGAAATTCAAATGTTGTAAATATTTGTTACTACATTATATTAAATAATGACTGCTTTTCTTGTGTCAATGACTAAAATAGAACAAACAATTATAATTTTTCTTGTGTAATTTTTATTTTAAAATGGGGGTATTTTAACAATTTCACTGAAAAATAATAACGTCAAAAATTTTTTGAAAATTTGAGAAGAATTATGATATTTGAAAAAATATTATCATTTACGTAAAAATTCATTTTTCCTAATATTGATGCATTAAAAATAACGTGATGAAATGGCTTAAAAAAAGTATTGTAATTGTAACGAAGACACCAAGCAAGTGGTGGTCAACGAGTCTATAGTCTCTTTTTGTTTTTTTATTATCATTTTCTTGATCCTGTTTATAAATTGCTCTTAATATGTTTTACTAGTGCAACATAGAAAAGAGAGATTAGGTGATCCACGTGCTTCATCTACCATCTGCCTCAGGTAATATTATATT